TCGTAACTCGTAAGGCCGTGTGATGTATAATAACTATCTGTGTTACTGTGTACGTAAAAATTAATGAATATAAAATTTAATAAAATGGTAGGGCCGTGGTACAGTGTAAGAACAATCCAAATACTTTTGAATGTTTTCGTGCGAAAGTTTGGTACATCTGAATGAGTTCAAGCTATTTGGGACTTTCTTACACCTTTGAGGAGAGAAGCGGCTCCCGTATAGCGACGAAGTCTTTCAAGGATTTTCAACAATTTGCACCGTGGTGCAGTGGTACTTACTGCCTACGCGGATGTTACGACGTAGCCGGGGTTCGATTCCCCCATCGGTGCAATTTCGGGCCGCTTCTCGGTTTCCTTCGGATGATGCAATGTTTAGTCACCGATAACTCACCAAACGGTTTGCGGCGGTGTATGTAAAATTGCAAATCGTCTGGGCCCTAGAGAATGGCATTGAACATGAACATTTGACATTAATTTATTGCCGCTGATTTCCACAGTAATGGTTAACAACAGCGATAAGTTCCGCCGATAACACTCGCACGTAGTATACCGCTCCCTTCCAGCTGCGCATATCCAGCTACTCGTAACACAGATCAGACAACGGCAGCGTAGGGATAAATTAACCAGTTTTGGCACAGCTTGAGCAAACGACAACCAAAATACCGATATTATACTTCTTATCATGACTGAACACTGCGCACAGTGACTTGTGTACACTGTACACAAGTGTATACAGTCACTGTACAGTAATCTGGGGCTTTGAAATAAGTGGTGAATATCGGGTTCCGGTGATTTTCATATCAATTTTTACTTTTTAGCATAACCAAGACACGACAATTATAAAAAATAGGAATGTGCTTTTGTACAGTAAAGGTCAACAACCGCTAAAATATTTGTAATTATTCCGCCGCTCTTAGTTAGTGTTATTCGGGAAGAGGAAGCAACTGTCAGAAACGCACATAAAGGACAGCGTAAAATTATAAAGCGTCTTTCCACGAGAAAACACGAAGAATTACGAAAGCTTAAGAAAATTGCGAAAAATCATTAAGAATTACGGAAGCTTTTAAGAAGAAACGGGCATCTATCGGAAAGTCGGTCACGTCGGAACCGTGGCAGAACACGCTAGGAACAAGAAGGATCTTCGTACCGGTACTTATGTGTGTTTTCACGCAAAATTAGAAGAAGATTCAACGCTTCTTAATAAACGTCTCGAACACCTGAATGCGTTCAGGCTATAACTTTGGAACTTCTTATGCCAGAATGTCCTGGTGCCTGGTGGTACGAGTAATAATCAGTTTAGATTATGCAGTGGCGATGTTCAAAATTACTGGTCATCGGACGCGCAAATTCCAGTGAACAGCAAAAGTGCGTTTTATGTGTATCGAACATTTAATGCCGTTTATTTACAAAAATTAATAATGGTTTATCTTCAACAGCTGCAAAACAAAGTACGTATAGCGCCCCTTCCAGCTAGTGCACGTAAGATTAAAACCGATCAGACAACAAACTACAGCGTAACAATAAATTAATACGGACTTGTGCATTCAAGACAAAAAACGGCAAAGGTTTGAAGCCATAGAAAAACTGATAGTCGCAACCGCAAGCACAAATATTCGAAAAAACGAAGTAACTGGATGCTGCCATACCATCCATCCAAATCCGAACCATTTATCGTCGTTCGAGCAGTCGGTGTAGTCGATTCACCGTCCTTACTACTAGCGATCGTTATTCGTGTTCCACGTCGTCCAGTGTTGAGCCAGTTCGACCAGGAAGTACATCGCAAACGGACTCAGTTTCTCCAACTGCAAACCATGCAGGCCGTCCACACACCACACTTTGTCGAGGTAATGCGAGGACGGACGCGGGTCAGCTGACTGGGTTGCACAAAGCGCCTGCAAAATAACACCACTCTTCGTAACGATCTTAAACGTTTTAATGCTTCAAAGAAACAGAACAAATCTTTCGCCTGGGCCGAGTTTGTGGTCAAAGCTTTGACTTTTCTACAATCTCTGTCATTTAAGGTAACGGAATTACTCAAAACTTCGGTTGAAGACTTGAATTGTAAATCGAAATGACGGTACTCACCCTGCATGCTAATTCTCTCCTCAGAACGCCGGTTTTTCTTATCAGCAGCGATACGTGCCAACCACGCAGACAAAGTTTCCAGCTTTTTCCCATCCTGCATCGGCACCGATTTCTCTAACATATCCCACATCACGCAGCCCATATCGGCGTTCATTGGAAACCGAATATCCACCATGTTGACCGCCAGCTGAATCTTATTACGAAAGTGTATTTTAGCATAGATTAAATCCATTTCACAGTTGACCAGATGAATAGCGTCGCACGGGAGACCACCACAGGCGGCGATGAAATCAACCAAGCGATGGACGACCGAGAATCGGCATACTGTACATCACCGATTCCGTTAGGGTAGCTGTGCATTAGGCATCTATCAGAACCATAATCCTCATCGTCCAGAGGGTCGGTAAATGCCAAGTCACAGCGAAGCCCACGATGTGGATCGTTCGCAGTTGACAGCCGGTTTTCCGACCAACGTAGTGAATCACATCGGTCAGCGTGACAATGTCGCCGGCATTCATCGAACTTTTGCGAGCGCCCACAACGATGTGTTGTGTGGATTTGCGGAGGCATTTGAAAACGGGTGCCGTTAGAACGTACTGCAACCAGCTGGAATTCGGCTGATCACCACCCTTATTCGCGATAATGCAGGCCGTCAACACCGGTGACTGCAGGATGGCGTTCCAAGCACCACACACGCTGCGCAATCCCGTCTGCGTCCGAGTATCCAGTTGGGAGAAGACTTCCAGCAACAGAGCCGACGTCAGCATAGACAGATCACCGAATGGCTGCTGTTTCACAGTTGAAATGCCTCCTCTAGACGGCATCCCCGCAGTGTCTTGCTGCATGTCACGCTCATCCATTCCGTACTGCAAAATCATAGAAAATCCATAAAGCAAGATCACAAAGCCGGTGTCAGCTAGCAACATGAGAGCGTCTGGCGCTAACCCAGAATGCACCGGAACTTAAAAATTAATGTCTTTCCGCTGCGAAATTTTCCGTTACATACTAGGAATACGAATGTATTAACTTCAAGTACTAAATTCGTGCACAGTATTACGGTGCATTTATGCGCGAGTTTGTATTCTTTCAACGAAAACAAATAAGGTAAACCGACTCGCCAACGCGTTGAAGGGTCTTATCTACCCGCCTGCGTTTACCACAATGCGTTCCAACTGGAGCCACATCCGATGGTACGTCTCTCTATGTTGATGCCGCCAAACGTACGACACGTGTCCATCCTCTACGTTCACGAAATTAACAGGCCGGGAAACGTGATCTATGCGACGACGCGCTGCCTCGTTCAAATACCGCAGCACCTTAGCGGTATCTCCATGGCGGCATTTTTGCGGCAAAGGCAGAACATCCTTCATGAAGTCCCCTCGTTCCACTGGTGTAAGCGACGTGGATATTCCCCCTCGGAATCGAGAGCCAACATGCCAGTTTTCTGAAGATGAACGCTGGTTTGGAGCTCCACCCCAACCGCGTTCCTCTCTCCAGCGCAGTCGCTCCACGGGAACCAGATCCGTACACTGCACCCCGCCATGTGTCCACTGGACTACCGCCACTTTGCATTTGGAAGCCGTATGGTGAATACCGCGGGCAATATTGACGATCCCAGCAGGGAACCAGGTCCACGGATCGGTGCGTGACTGACGCATCAGGGCGTCCACGGGAATGGTTGCACCGGGTCGGATCTCCGGATACGCATCGGCCAGACGATTTTCTAACATGTGATAAATGCTTGGCGCGTTCTGGAAGATGCGGTTGAACGCGGTGAGTTCGCGTCGCCGGTTGGGGCAATGGAAGTCGATAAGGAGCCCGTTGTCGGCCACGTCCACCACCCATCCATAGCGGAGCAGATTGTCGTCGCCCAAAACATCGACGCGATTAGCTTGACAGGCGCTGTCAGACATCACTGTAGTGTGAAAGTGCCCAGTGGTCAGCACCTGGAATATCTGTAATAAACAAGCGTAAAATAAAACTCGTTTTTTCTATGAGTACAAGCTATTCTCTCTGTGCAGATAGATAAGCTATTTGCTGATTATGCTTACGCGTGATTCTTGAGTTCTTACTGGTCTGGAAATCGCTGTCCTAGCGTGCAAGGAAACTATCTGTACAGGGTAAAACAAAAATAACTTACTTTTGATTGTATCGGTAGTAACTACTAACAGTAAACACACTCCGCGCGAAGCACGTTCAGTACTCATGTGAAAACCGATCGATTAATTTTTGACAATACGGAAGAATTATTATAAAACTCCAGACTACTAGTATATGTGCATACTCGTAAAACTGTTCATTTTGGTTGTTTGAGCCCACAAGGTGTGGATCGGTAGCTGGAAACCAATCAAAACTTAAACAAACTTGCGATAGGCCGAACACATATGCGAGGAGGTGTGCAGGCGAGCCGACACCATCATGCTAAAAAAATGTGCTGTCGGTTCGACTTTACATCACCTCGTACAGTCAGGAATTTCTGGCACAAAATGTAGTTCAATTCAGGCTCGACGCTGGCTTGCCTGTCCAAAGCGAGGGCTTTATAACCAGCCTTAAACTCCAAGCACAGATTAATACACGACTTGAAAAAACGATAACCAAAATACTGTGATAACACTTCTCGCCGTTTGTACAGTGGTATGACTTTGTAATAAGCAGTGAATATCGAGTTACGATGACTTTATGTTATTTTGTAAAATCACAAAGTATGAGCCAATAAAAAAACAGAAACATCTTATTTACATATTCACAGTAAAGGTTCAAATATTTTATTTATTCCGCCGGTAAAATATTTTGTACTTAACTATTCCGCGTTATTCGGACCGAAGCGGCTTTCAAATACGCACAAAAAGGACAGCGTAAAAATTAAAAACCCTTTCAAAGGAAACAAAATTATAAAAAAGTGCAACCGATTTCATTTCAACACGAAACGGACTTCAAAGAGCAGAAAACAAACTCGTCATCCATCGGTTCATCTGGCACATCGGAGCCGCTGTCTGAGTCGTCACTGCTTGCCCGCATTCCATCAAAATACTCTGCCAGTTCGACCAGGAAGTGCAGCGCAATCGAGGACAGGTTCTCCAACCGCAGCTCTCTCAGGCCGGCCACGCACCACTCCTTGCCGCGGTAATGCGAAGAGGGGCGCGGGTCTGCTGTTTGCGTCGCGCACACTGCCTGCAACGAAAAAAAATCAGCATGGCTACGCTAAGGTACTTATTTAGCCGTAACCACAGCTTATTTAGCCGTTTTTGCCAGATTCGACCGAACAACATCCGGAAGTTATAGCTGTAAGACAATTCCAAAAAGTTTAAATGCACTCAGGTGTACCAAAAGTCTCATTATGGACCAATCTTTTTAAATTTCTCACATAAAAGCACAAAAGTATGGAGATCGTTTTCACAACGTACGAACCAAAGTTTGACCATTTTTTTCAAATTCTAAAATGAATTTCAAAAATTTTTGTATTCATTTTGAAAATATGAAAAAACGCTACTCTAGAAATCTAGTACCGTGGTTCTAGAACCGCTAGAATCTAGAGCCGAACCGTGCTTTTGGTACACAGGAATGCATTTCAATTTGTTGGAATTTTCTTACAGCCATAACTCCCGAATCGGATGTTACGCGCACATACGGTTTTCACGCCTATGTAGACAAATTATCTGGCTACAGAATGTCATAAAACAAGCAAGGAAGCCTTTGAGAGTGCGTGAAAGTTTTCGTCCAAGTAAACGAATTTATACCATGTACCGGGTACTTCCCTTTACAGTTACCTGAACCGTACGATCATGCAAATCGGAAAAGGTAGCCAACGGAACATCGACGACAGCACTTACTCGACAGGCCAGTCTCCGCTGAGAACGGCTGGTCCCAGCATTGAGGGACGCCAGCCACGTCGCCAACGTGTCCAGCTGCTCCGCATTCGGCGTCGGCACGCGTGTTCCCAGTACGCCCCATATCAAGCGGTCCACATCACCACCAAGCGGCAACCGAACCGAAGGCAGGTACACCAACAAGTGGTTAGGCAGGTACACCTGCTCTGAGCTAGCGTAATCCAAAAGAACCGTGCAGATAACCAGCCGAATAGCTTGGCATGGCAGATCAGTACAGGCGGCGATGAAATCTGCGAGGCGACATGGACCCGGGTAGGAATAACTGGTACTCCCGAAGCTGGGCTCATGCATGGGGCATTTATCGTATGAATCCAGGTGGCGGTTGAATTGCAGTTTCAACTGGAGTCCCACCAAATAGACCGTTAGCACGCGATGCCCCGTTGTCTGGCTAACATAGTGCATCGTCTCCGCCAGCGTCAGAAAATCGCGGGTCTGCATCCAGTTGTCGCGAGCGGCTACGACGATGTGCTGCGTGGATTGGCGAAAGCACTTGAACACGGGTGACGTCAGAAAGTAATGCAGCTGAGGACGGTATGGTCGATAATGGTGACTTCCGAAGCCAATAATAACGATGCCGGCCGTTAACACGGGAGATTCCAAAACGGCGTTCCATGTGAAACACACGGTGCGCAAGCCAGTCTGCGTTCGGGTATCCAGTTGGGAAAATACTTCCAGCAACACATCCACTGTCAACAAACCGATGTCACTGCTATCCTCGGGCTCCGTAATCGAAGTAATTTCTTCTGTCAGCTGCAGGATAATTGCTCGGATGCCTGCGACTAATGCGCCGTCGCATTTACGGATGAAGTTCTGAAAAAGGGCGATAAACAACCTTGTAGCTAGTAACTAGCACGTTCCATAACCATAAAAATTAGGCTAAGGCCATTTTGCCGCAGTAAGAACAATATGCGGCACTATAGCTGGTTGGCTATTTTGCCGCAAAAATTGCGGCAAAATAGTCACTCCGTAAAAATTAATACGGGCAGAATTTTCTTTACCGCCAGCTTTACAAATTACAAGTACCTATAATTTTACTTAATTATAACACTATTGTTATCAAATTACTACGAACTACAATACTATTATCATTTTATAGTGTTAGTCCCAAAACTGTTCAAATATAATCATACTCGTACATTAAATATGTCCAATTCAAATAATCGTACATTTAATATGTTATCTGCCCGTTGAAAGTCTAGCTTTAAGATTATCTGTCTTGGATTTGATTCCTGCTCTATGTACTTCTTAACTTCTATCTCATAACATCAAACCAAAAAAGGTACTTATAAAAGTTTCTAAATGAACAAAATCTCCCAATAGCCTGGTAAGATATCTCCGTTAATGGAGCTGGCTACTGTAAAGTCATAGTAACAATATTAATAATGATATTCTTTAAGATTAAGTACAAATTATTGAAACGAAATCCGGTATTAAAGCAATTTCCAGTTAACATCTCTTTAATGCGCAGTATTTTACGGTTACCTGAACAGGATCAGGATAAAGCGAAATGTTCTGGAAAGGGCCCGTGGTCGGCCATCGTAAAAAATCAACATATCGCCAAACGTACGACAGATGCCCGTCCGCTATACCCACGAAAGAAACATAACGACACGGGTAATCTTCCCGACGGCACACTCTCTCATTCAGGCGGCTGGACAGTTTATCCACGTCCACATGACGCCAGTCTTCCGCTCCCGATAACAATAGACTGCGCTTGTGAAACGTCCCGGCCTCAACGGGGTCAAGTCGAGCAGACAGCCCGTGAGTTGTCGAGACACCATCATGCCGGACGGAAGCGTTCCTGCCGATAGTAGCCCACCACTCGCTGTTCACCGTCCAACGCAATCGCTCCAGCGGAACCACATCCGTACAGGCCACGCCGTTGACCCAATGGACAACGGTCGAGACATGCGCCTGGGCCGAACAGGGCGCGCAACGTTGACGATCAACCCGGAGACGCATGCCCACGGACCGGAGGGCGTCTCGGGCACTAGCACGTCCACGGAGGTGGGCTTGCCGGGTTCGGTACCCACGTATGCTAGGGCAAGAGCATCTTGACTGAACTCCCAATCGACATTCAGGAAAATCCGGTTGAAGGGTGTGAGTTCGCGTCGTCGGTTGGGACAGAAGAAGTCAACGAATTCGAAGAGTCCGTTGTCGGCCACATCCACTACGCGTCCAATGCGGAATACGTCGTCGTCGCCCAGGACATCGACGCGGTTGGTTCGGTTGAGGTTGTAGGACAGGAACGACATCGTTGCAGCTGCAAAGGATGCAATCGTTAGCACCAGATATGCTGTATGCTGTTCTGATACGGCAATTTCTCTGTAGTTTTGCGTGCAGAAATTGCATGCTGAACAGGGAATGTACGTTATGCAACCAGTCAAATGATTTAATATTCGGACTGATGCTCACCTGTGATGCTAATAACTAAAACAGTATCACAAGGAAATACAAGGTTTATTTCCGTCCTGGTAGCAATCGAGCCGCGTTACCGTAGAGTGTAGACGACGCGAAGCAAAAAGCAGCAAACACAGTAGTGTAGTATTTACTCGCAAGCAAAATGATCAATTACGATTAAAACTGCAGAATTAAACGATTTCAATCATTTTATAGAATTCCAAGCGCGTTTATACTGGAAGTCTGGAAGCGTCAAGCGCAATAGAAACCGCCCATGCTGGTTGGCAGTCACGTTGATTCAGTCCATCTGCATTTGCGATTTTACACTAATTTACAGTACCGACGCAGTCACCAGACAGCCACTGCGTTTGAGATGGCAGTTTCCATAACAAAAGGTGACGTCACGCTCCAGTGACTCCGTTGACCGTAATCTCCACGATCTGGAATTTTAAACTGCAACGCAGACTGCATTTCTCATTTTCTCATCTCTCTTCGTGCGTGATCTCTCTTCAGTCTACCCCATCCTTCTATCCCAAACTCATCATTTCTCATTTTTTAGTATCTGTAAACACTGTTGGAGTATAATTTTCCCCGTTTGCACGCTAATCATGGATTTCTCCCGTGGCGAACCCGTCTCTCCCTCGGCCCTCGTCATCGCCGAGCTGCGCCAGCACCGCACCGTCCCCGAGTACACGGGCGGGATGCCGGATGAGGAGGGCGTCTTCATGGAGAAGGATTTGGCGCGCGATGCCCCGTGGAAGCGCATCCAGCAGAACACGTTCACGCGCTGGGCCAACGAGCATCTCAAAACCGTGCATCTGGGTGTACGCGATCTGGAGACGGATTTCAGTGATGGGTTGCTGCTCATCGCCCTGGTGGAGGTGCTCAGTGGACGGCGCCTGCCCAAGCACACCAAGAAACCCGTGTTCCGCTCGCAGAAACTGGAGAATGTCAGTGTGGCGCTGACGTTCCTGGAGGAGGAAGAAGGCCTGAAGCTGGTTAGCATAGGTACGGTAAACTGGGCGGTGGTGGCCGTTTCGCTGTTCGAGACTTCCTTGTAATTCGAAATTAACGATTAGTTTGTTTGTGGTTTACTTGCTTTTACCTGAAGCTGGTTTATTTTGTGATAGAAAATTTATAAAATATTACCGCCCTTTGCATTAATACGCGGCGATATTTCTAATGTTCCCTGTTTGGATTTTTTGCATTAAAAATAATTCTCAAATAATTTGTATTTTTTGGAATTTTTGTAGCAGAAAAACGTTGATTATGGGAATGGTAATCGAAAATTAGTTAATCTGGGGTAAAAAATTTTATAAATTAATCAGTAACCTTTGCTTTATAATGCGCGGCGGTTTTAATACTTCGTTTTCAGTTTCTCATTAAACGATAAAAAAATCTGAAATTTTAAGAATTTTCGTAGCCGGAAATTGTTCAAAATGGGAGGGGTGAGTAAGCCAATGAATGTCAGAAAATTTCATAAATAATCAGCAGCGTTTGCATTAATGCGCGGCGCTGTTTTTAATGTCCCTATTTAAATTTTTTGCATTAATAATATTTTTAAGAAACATCTGTAATTTTAGGAGTTTTCTTAGAAAATAGAGTCATTACTACATATTAATCCGTAGTTATTAATTAGTGATTTATTATGCAGTAATTTCGGTAATTATCTGCGTTTATGCTCTGGCTGGTTCGAAGTATTTTCGATAGTCTTGCTGAGTTTGTTGACCTCAGTTCGCCTGAATGGCAACGCAGTGAACCAGTTGCTAATCCGTCTGCCGGCTATGTTTTGCAGACAGCACGGACATTGTGGACGGTCGACTGAAGCTGATTCTGGGGCTGGTGTGGGCGCTGATCCTGCACTATTCCCTATCCAAACCGAAGTGGGAGGGCGATCCGGACAGCGATGGACCGGAGAAGAAGCTGACGCCCAAACAGCGCCTGATCACGTGGTTCCACCACAAGATGCCGCAGCTGCCCATCTCCAACTTCACCACCGACTGGAACGATGGACGCGCGTGCGGCGCCCTGGATAACGCCGTCGCGCCCGGTAATAAACCGGTTATTTTAATCCTCTTTAATTTAGTGAATTTAATTTATTTACAAGTTATTTTTTTAGTTTAATCAGTGCTGTTTTAAACCTTATTTTTTTGTTTAAATTCTGACTTATTAATTGTGATCGTACTTAATTTTTTTTAAAATTTTTCTATTTTATCGGAAAAATTTGTAGCAACGAGTGTGTTTACTGGTACTCAATTAAATTAATAATATGTTTGTATCTACTTCTCGTATATTTTCGGTATTTTCTATGGTTTAATTTGTAGCAATGAGGTTTTTCCAAAGATGTCGATTCTGACTCTTATAAAATTTTCGGTGGATTTTTATAAATGGTCAGTTTTTAGTCGCACGTTAGCTTGTTTGGAAAAATCAGTGATTTTTAGACTCTTAGTTTTTTTCTTGGGATTTGTTGTTGCTCTTTACTTTTTAGAGATGTTTTAATAGCTTTGCTCCATTGCTATTGTAGATTAGCTGTAAATAATTTATTGAAGAATTAGAAAATAATTAGCGAATAAATATCAGCTTTTTAAATAAGTAAATAAATGCAGGAGATAATTCAGATTTGACCTTCTTTGACCCTTTTCTTCTTTTTGACCTTCTTTTTATTTGACCTTCTTCTTTTTATTATATTAAGTGCGATGTGTTATTGTCCAGGTTTGTGTCCGGACTGGAAAGACTGGGATCCGCGGGACGCCCTGCGCAACGCCACGGAGGCGATGAGTCTGGCGGAGAAGTGGCTGGGAGTGCCGCAGCTGATCAGCCCGGAGGACATGATCGACCCCAACATCGACGAGCAGAGCATGATGACCTATCTGGCGCAGTTCCCCATCGCCAAGGTCAAGGCCGACGCGCCGCTACGCACGCCCACCACCCGCAAACCCAGCCAGCTGTCCGTCCGCTCCAGCGGTACGTTTACAAGTTGAGAAAAACATTACGTTGTTATTACGTTATTAATTGGAGAGCATGAGTGATTTCGTACGGGCGCTGGATATTATTGAAAGATGTGTTATAGCAAACGCTGAAGGCGTTTTTGAAAGTCTCGTTAATTAAGGAATAGGTGTCTCGGTACTGAATGACCATTCTTTCGATAAATTTAGATTTTATGAAAAAATTATTGAAGTTTGTGTTGAGTTTGATCGTAATAATTAAGTAACTGAATTTTTTGAGGAATAGTTGGGTGTCGGCTTAATTCACTGCACTACGCTAATCTCCGTATTAAGGAAATGACTGCCGGCTGTGCGACGTGCGTACTGAAATTTGCTTCAGACGGTAGCTTTAAACTTCAATAAAAGAACTGAAAGTTGGTTAGATCTTCTTTTGAAATTATAATTTTTTAACTGCCTTAATCTTATCTCAAATTAAAAGTACTGAACTGTTAAAAAAAAGAAAGATCTTGAACGATCATAGAACTGTATCCGAGTATCCTAATTCAGAATTTGATATTGTAAGCGCTGCGATATTATTGATCCATCGTGCTACGATTTTCTTCACATACTGAGTGCATACTATTCGTATTGGAAATTTGGCATTTTTTAAACAAACTGTTAATGTCAAAAAATAATATTACTATTAAAATTAATATGTGTTATAAATCAGTACATTTATAAAATTAATATAACGTATTATTCAAATTAGTATGTTATTGAAATGATGGAGTATTATGTTCTTATTTTTTTTCTAACCGACAGACATCTATTTTTCGTACCTTCCCTATCACTCTACGGGATGACCTTCGCTGCACCGTTCTTTCGATAAATTTCCGTTCGTTGAAAAAAAGTGTAGAGATTTTTTTGAATTCCATTCTACTAAATACGTACTCGTATTTGAATCTTTCTGAGTCCTTTCGGTTTCCTAGTTAAGCCACTGCACTACGATTCTCAGTTTTCAGCAGGTGACTGCCGCTTATGGTCGTATTAAAAATTTAATCTGTTTTAAATTCAACAAAAAGATTTAAAAGCTTATTCGAACTTGAAGTTAGGTTTTTTTATGTGCCAAATTTTTAATTTAATTAATTTTTGAATGTCCGGTTTCTGACAAATTAATGAACGATCATAGAAATATACCCCATATACTGTGCAAATGTCTGCATACTATTCGTATCGGAAATTCGGCATTACCACACCAAAAAATTGCGTGATTTATTTTTTTAGAGACATTACTTCTGTTTTTTAATTAGTGGTGACGCGGCCGGATCTGGTGAAGTGCAGTGGCCGCGGCATCCAGGCGGACGGCATCCGCACCGGCGACGTGGTCAACATCCGCATGGCCACGGGGGCCGCCGGGCTGGGCGACGTGGACCTGTCCATCATGGCGCCGGACGGGTCGCTGGAGAAGTACGACATGCAGACCAGTGAGAATCTGTACGAAGCCTACTACTGTCCCTCGCTGGAGGGGCGCTACGTCATCAGCATCCTGTACGGCGGCCGGCATGTGCCGCGCTCGCCCTTCCAGGTCAACGTCAAGCCGGCCATCGCGTCGAACATCCGCGTCTACGGCCCGGGACTGTCGGCCGGCGCCGTGGGCTACCCGGCCAATCTGTATGTGGATATGAACGGCGAAGCGGGGATGCTCAGTACGTGGGGGTTTCTGTGTTTTAATGCGCTAGATTATCGGTTCATTATTATTTTTGATTATGTTCGTTTTTGATTTAAATTGTTAATCGTAGATCTGTTGGGTACATAAAATCGACGGGAACAAAGTTTTTATTTCATTCTGTATATTTTATTTTTGACTTTTGTTAGAAATTGCGATAGACATAAATAAACGTAATAAACATAATAAACCTGTAAAATCATCAGTTCCTTCAGTTTTCTTTAACGTTTTTTGGAGCTGTGATTTTTTTTTCAGCGGAATTAAGTAAATTGTGGTAAATTGCCGGTATTTTGTCGGAGCTGTTTATGATGACACTGCAATAATTGCTGATCGCATAAGCCTGAAAATGAAAATTTATATTTCCGCTAGTTTTATAACACTTTTTCTTTAATTTCTGTAATTGAATGCAACTGATCTTGGTTTTGCATTTTGTATTTTACACCGCTCGTCGTGCTTATTTACGACTGACAAGAAAAATGTGGTTTTATTTTATTGCATTACTGTTCAAAAAAGAGAATTAATCATTGTATATTGAATTCGTTTTATTTTAAATTCATTTTTGCTTAATTTGTATTTTACGCTATTATACAGCGTTCGTTGTGGATCAAGGAAAACAGTTTTGTAATTTTTAAATAAAGGGAATAATTTAAATCTTAATTAAAGAAATAATTTCTTGCACTGTAGGCTTCTTGATCGAGGGTCCCAGCGAAGTGAAGATCGACTGCAAGGACCGCGATCTGGTGGCGTACGCCACGTACTGGCCGACCTGCGCCGGCGAGTACGCCGTGCACATCCACTGCGACAACGAGGACATCCACGGCAGTCCCTTCATGGCGGAGATCAGCCAGCTCCCGGCGGGCGTCAATCCCGACAAAGTGCGCGTAGAACTACCTTTGCGGGAGGGCGTGGCCATCGGGCAGCCGGTGGAGATGGTGGTGCGCACGCGCGACGCCGGGAATGCTCCCCTGGAAGTGCTGGTGACGGACGGGGAGTTTGATGTGTTGGTCAAGAAGGAGGAGGTGGAGCCGGGGGTGTGGCGCTTCGTGTTTACGCCGGATAACGCCGGGATGTATGTGGTGCTGGTGAATTTTGCCGGGGTGGCCGTGGGCGGGAGTCCGTTCAATGTAAGTGACGATTGCCAACCGGGGAAAAATAATAACAGTAATATAGGTGCAAAAATTGGTTATGAAGCTAGTTGCGAACAACGTAGCAGCTCGGTTCATTAAAACATTTTGGTTGCTCTAAATATGGCAGCGGAAAATTGCCACGGTCTGACACAGCCGATATGTTTGCCGATTGCGTCCTGTTTTCTTTGTAATTATTTTTTGTTTTTTTTTCAAATTTCAGTAAGTTTTATTCGAAATAATGTGCTACGTTACTATTGCTAGTACGTTATGAATGCCGTATAATTTTATTGATAATATTATGTACTTGGCCGTGCGCTTGGACGTTATGAAATTTTCGTAGTGTGGTGGCTGCACTTAAGTTATGTCCAAAATGATGACTGGCTGTGTGGTAGAGCCCTGCAACGGACTGGTAAATCCGAACCGCTCCGAATCCACTCCGATTTTCGGAGCGGATTGGACGGATTTGTTTTAAAAATATTCGGATCGGAGTGGTTTCGGAGTTTAGGCTTGCCTGAATGGATCGGATTCGCATGTAATTATGACTCCGAATTATCCGAAATAAAATTATATTTCAACTAATTTTTATAGGACAAAAAGCATCGTCAGCTTCGCGCTCCGCGCGAGGCTGTGATTCGGTAAAGCACTAAACGATTCTTTGTGATTCGGTAAAGCACTAAACGTAACTACTTCTATTACGTTAACTTTAGTTACTCTGTGCCCTTTGTTAGAGGCGAAGCTTGTTCAATCAAAAAAAGAAATCCGAATTACAACTTTTATGAGTTTTTTCGTTGAGAACTAAAAGAGATGACAGGTATTACAGATTTTTCTGAAATGAGATAAAAAAATATGACAAAAATTTTCGGAGCGGATCGGACTGGATTCGGATTTGTAAAAAACATTTACGGATCGGAGTGGTCGGAGTATGATTTTGAAAATTCGGAGTCGGACTGGGTTCGGAGAAAAATTTATTAGTTCGGATCGGACTGGACGAAGTTTTAGACTCCGTTGCAGGGCACTACTGTGTGGTGCTGTTGCCTGTAAAACTGTCTTTGAGTTGTCAAACTTTTCCCGTTTTTTTGCCATCCTGGTTTTTACTTTTTCGATTGTATGGTGTTCTGTTATTTTTTTCTCTAAGAAAAATATCTTAATGCCTTTTGTAAGTGTATTGGTGCTGTGCAGGGTTCACTTCTCAGGAAAGAAATTCGAAGCAGGTTGTGTGAGTGTCCATTATGGAATGTTCGTAGTGCAGTGGCACAATACGATATTTCCCTAGACCGATTCATGCTAAGTTCGGTACACGGTGGGGGGAGTTCATGGCTAGTACTGTGACTGGTTTATACACTTTTTGAGTGTTTTATCTTTTTGTAGATTCCCGTTCGTAGTTCCACGGCGGTTGGCCCGTCTCTCTTGTCACCGCGGTCCTCGCGTTCCAACGATAATTTCCTGTCCAGCTTGGAGATGAGTTCACTGCGGATTATCGGCTTCCAGCCAAGTACGTAATGCCACATTTTTATAGAATTACTGTTTTTTGTGCGTTTTATATTTTTTTTATACTGTTAACAACTTTATTCCATTTTTTAAAGTTTAATATTTTTATCTCATGTAATATTTACATATTTTATCTACGTATTTTTAAAAACCATAATTGAAGGTGACTGTAGAATCAAGCATTCACGATGTATAACAGTATAGGTACATTATAATTGTGATTTGTGAGCAATTTGTAGTGTAGTGGCAGTTTGTACATCGCATGCTTCCTTTCGGATAACTTGTTGTTGCTCTGCTACCCTCAGTTTCTCAGGAAATCTGCGCAGTTTTTATTTGTGTTCTTGTTTTGTATTCTTTTTGATGACTTTTGAAGTTTTATTTGGTTTTTGAATTTATAAACAAATTTGTTTTCTATGGTGCTGCCTGTTTTCTGATAATTATTGTTGTTGTGCGTTCTCCGAAAATCTGTGCAGTTTTGTGTGTTATATTTGTTTTATGCTCATAAAAAAAATTTTAAAAACCTTCCATATTTTTAGAAAGTTTTATTTTCTTTTCCAGTTTTGTTGCATTATTTTAAAATTGTTGCCGGTGCTGCGGTGCAGCTTTTATTTAAATTTGTATCTATTTTAAATTTATAAAATTCTCTGAGCGGTTTTTATGCGGTATAGATGTGGCATTGAATACGCTGAGTGAATTTCTGGTGGATTGTCGTGATGCGGCGGTGGGGGATAGCGCCGCGCTGAAGGTGTTCATTCATTCGCCCAGTGGAATTTCCGGTGAAGCGCTGGTATCGGAAAAGAGCCCGGGATTGTATAACGTCTCCTGCAGTGTATTTGAAGAAGGTAAGCGTTTCCTCGTATCGTACGATGTGAAATTGCCGAGACGAATAAGTTCCCCAGTTGCATATTTTAGTGTAAATCGCATTTCTCTTTAAAAAATTAGAACGGATTTTTTTATTTCTCTCAACGAATCCATGCTGCTGCATCAGCGTGCATTTCAGTGTGTGTGTGTGACTGTGTATGTGTGTGTGCGAAACGACGACTTAATTGTTTTAATTATCGTATTATTAATGGGATTGCGAGATATGGAAATTTGCGGTGTGAATCGTGTGGAAAAGCGCTGATAGATTTGGACAAATTCGTAGTGTAATGGCTGTGTGCAAATGGCCGCTTCTTGATTTGTCGTCATCGTTTATATGAGATTTCGCTGTAGTGATTTCGCATTGACTAGTTCGTTAAATTTTTTGAATGAGTAAATAGAGCTCACAAAAATGAATAGTGGAATTTTTCTAAACGCGCACCTTCTTGTGATCCTTTTCTTGACTAATCGTGTTAATAAAATCTATTAATAATAATAAGGTTTAATACGGATTGTGATAATGAAAAAATTTTTATGTCAAAAAATACTAGCATATAAATCAACTACATAATAATTTAACAATACAATATTTAACCATGTAAAAATAATTTGACAGTACAATTTAAGAAATAAACTGGCATTTTAACAGTATAATTTCAGTTTGATTTTCGTACGGAATGTTAATTCAACCTCAAAAACCGGTCAAAATTTTTTTACAATTTATTCAAAATAAGGATGGTGTTTACTGAATGTTTTTTTTAAATAATGTTTGGTGCAGGACCGCATACGCTGAGCATGTCGCTGGACGGTCTGCCGGTCCGCGGTCAGCCCCTGATTATCACCGCCGGAAATCCATCCGGAAATTATTCTCTGCTGAAGAACAGTAACGGATTGGCCGGTGGCCAGAAAACCGAGGATTATTCCGTCTCGGAGGAGATGTCCGGCGACGGGACGACGATTATCCGGCGCGAGACGCGGCTGGTGCGCGAGACGGTGTCCAGTGTGTGCACGGAGAGCATTCTCGGAAGCAGTACAAGCAGCGTGCTGAACGGGGTGCCGAGCGCCATGGCGGCGCTGGAGTTGGCGCAGGGCGACGCCTCCAAGGTGGTGCTGGTGGGGGAGGGCGTGCAGCGGGCCCGCGTCAACCAGGTCAACACCTTCACGGTCCGCGCTGACGCGGCCGGTAAGTTGAACGATTTTTAATAGTTATTCCATTTTCCCGGAGATTTACTCCGCTACATTCAATTAAGACTATTGTACAAAATTTTATCATTTCTTTTGTATTGATATAAGTTTGTTTACTTGCATATTTTTTATCTTTTTATTTAAGCGTTCTGGATATATACATTTTTTTTTAATTTTTAACGATACTGTACATATTTCTTGATTCTGCTAAGTAAAGGAAAAATAATAATAATAATTACTTAAGAACAGTAATAACTTTTTGTGTTCGTCGCCAACGCATGGATGTTCCTATTTTGCGTTTTTCCTGATATTATTATAAACACCTCTCCGATCGATTAATTTAACTTCTTTAAAAAATTATGGGATCTTTAAAACAGGAATTTAAAACGACTGTTAATTAAAGCGGATTTCCCAAAATTTCCATTGAACGATCTTGAGTCTAACCCTTCGCACTACGATTCTCTCGTTTTGATACGCGTACGGTCCGTATCCGACATGTGAATTCGCTAAGTACATATTTTACATTTTATATTCTGATGAATACAACCAACAACATGAAACAATCCTATGCCTGTACTGTGTTGATGTTAGTATTACATAATTGTATGGGATTTTTTTCCTTTTTCTAATTTTATATTAATTTAGCTGCTCATGCAGCGCGCCCGAAAAAATTAAATGACACAATCCGTATACGTAATTGTTTTCGCATTTTTTTACGCTCTTTATTTTCTTGATAACGTATGGCGGTTTGAAAACTATTTACATTTAATGGTACAATCGGTGGAAGTTTTCCCGCATTATTTTTGCACAGTTTTTCCCCGATAACTTTTTTTCCCTGTAGATAATTAATTCAGAAGTTTATACGCTCCGAAGATTTAGCCGTTTTGTTAAATTTGATATCTTCCACAGGCTACAACGTGCTGCTGGTGGGCGTGTACGGGAAAATCCTCAACGCGCACGAAGTGAAGATGACGTATAAAGGTCAAGCCACTTACGAGGTGACCTATGAGTTGAAGGAGCGCGGGGAATATCTGCTGATCGTCAAATACGGGGATGACCACGTCAACGGTAGTCCGTTTATTCTGCAGTGCCAGTAAATTGTTTCTCATTTAAACGTTCCGTGGAATAAGCACAGATTATTTTTGTATTTTAATACTGACAGATTTGTTTTTGTTAACCAAATTGTGGCTGAGCAAAATACCTCGAATTGTTAGATACTTTTGTTAATTTTTGAGCACACAGTGATGGTGAAGATTTCCGTTCAAACCAAATAATTCTATGGTGGCGGGGAGATTTTGGGATTCAGTTAATTTGGTGCAATAAATTGCCGAGTTTTGTTTACGTTGAATAAATATCAATAAATTGCGGATATCAGTTTGTATTATGTACAATAATACCAAAACAATGTGGAGTTCAGTTTTAATTAAATTATTAATATCAATTAACTGCAGAGTTCAGTTTATACTTTATATTATATTAACATAATTAAAGTTAAATAAATATCAATAAATTAAAGTTAAATAAATATCAATAAATTACGAAGTTAAGTTTTACGATAAATTAATATCAAGAAATTGCAGAATTATTTTTACGGTAAATTAATATCATGGCGGAGTTCAGTATAAATTAAATTAATATCAAGCAATTAATATCAGAGTTCAGATTATGTTTTTAGGTTGAATGAGTATTAATAGATTGGGGAGTCAATTTTAATTTAAATAAATATCAATAATTTCGGAGACCAGTTTACATCAAATGATTACCAATGAATAAATTGCAGAGTTTAGTGTACATTCAATAAACTGCGGAGTTCTTTTTCCTCAGCTTCCAGCGCGGCTAAATCCTTGCGTAAAATGGCAATTTCCCGCGTTTCGGTGCTGTTCTGTGTCTGCAGTTCGTTGAGTTTATGCTGTAGAGAATGGATGACGTTGTCGAGGGCTTCCAGTTCTTGCTCTTTTTTCCGGCATTTCTGGCTGATGTTGGTGAGGTTCTCAGAGTGACAGTTGCATGGCGAAGGCATCGTGAATATTCTGTGACAAGATTAATTTTCTCTTTCCAATAAAACGTTGCTTAAATGCTACGTAATTACTGCTGAAAATTTTAATTTTTGACGTCTGTTGCTGAAAATATATGCGTAATTGCTAGGTGACCTTTCCTCAACATCCTGCACCTTCCGATCCAAATACAGAAGCACTTGAAATTAATGCCAAAAATAATTACTGTAATTGTGATTTCATGGAAAGGATTTATTACTGTTTTATTCAGATGAAGAACTGAAACCCATATCGTGCAGAAATAAAACAATCCGCAAAAAAATACAGTTTTGTTAGTACCATCGCGCATTCGATTATAGCGAGACGTATGCGGCAGCGGCAGTGATTTTTTTCCAATTATACGATACAACTCGCTTTTTCCTCGAAGAACCTAAAGGTCAAGTTTCGCGAGATCTCCATCGACAACTGCAAATTCGTATACGGATATTAGCGTCTTGGTACACGCGTGTTAATTCTGTGTGACGCTTAAAAACATGTCGGACGAAGAAAACGAGAATGAAGATGAAGAACAGGAGAAAGAAGTGTATTTGGGGGTACATTTCATAACAATGAAGCTAATCCTTCGATATTTGCTGTGTTTTGTGTCAATCTCGCTTTACTTGGAGCGTTTAATGCAAAGATCACCGGAAGCCCATATTTTCGCATATATGATTTGTTGCAGCGCAGAAGTACGAGGGAGGCAGGAACGAGAAAGAGGAGCGCCACGGCGAGGGTGAAGCACTGCTCCCTAACGGTGATCGCTATAAAGGTCAATACGAGAATGGCCGGCGGCATGGAAAGGGGTTGTATGTCTTCAAGGGCGGACCGCGGTATGAAGGCGAATGGAAGAACGGACTGAAGTATGGGCATGGCAAGTTCATCTATCCCGATGGTTCTTCCTATGAAGGTAACGTGCGGATTTCGGTTCTGCTTTAGCAGTTTTAACAAGCACTATATGTAATGGCTTCCAAATGTTGCAGTTAAGTAAGTGGCGAAGTAACCAAAATAACGCAGACAGCTTTAGTGTCCACCGACACCATAAATTGGCGTAAACAAATGAGAAAATGTTATGTATTCACATTTTATGTAATTGCAAAAGCGCAATATTACAGTACACAGATTAAATACCCCATAAAATGACTGTTTGATATCAGGTTTAAAAATAAAATGTTTACGCACTACATTTTTGATAAAAGGCAAAACAAACAAGGATTTGGTGCTGTTTGTCTAGGATACTGGGTGAAGGATCAGAAGGAAGGCTACGGTGTGTACACGTTCGAGAACGGTGACACGTACTCCGGGCAGTGGAAAAACGGTCTACGTAGCGGGTATGGAAAGTACCGGTACAAGCAGAGCGGCGCGTGTTACGTCGGGTTCTGGGCTAATGACAAGCGACATGGGAACGGCGAAATCCTGTGCGGCTCCCATAAATACGTCGGTCAATTTGCCGACGATAAGGTACTAATATCACTCGTCAGTCGTCTCCACTAAAGTAGTTAAAATAAGGGCGAAATTGTGTTTAAACCAGTGGATAGAAAGAAAACTTGGCTGGTCGTTGGTTTTATGGTCGTTGTGTTTTTCCAGCCAATCGGTCCCGGAAAATTCGCTTTTCTCGGTGGCTATGAACAGCACGGACATTTTGCGCCGGTGGAAGTGGTAATTACTTTGTGACCTTTAGCTCCAATTTTTACATGGGAGTGTCAGTGTCCCGTTTGATTAGGATGCCGCTGTTGCCTCCTTAATGAATGACACGCCCGTGGAAGAAGAAACTCCCGAATCCGCGGAACAAGAAGAGGGCGCCCAGGTCACTGTGTCTAAGTGGATCCCGGAGAATCTGACGTTCCCCGAACGCATCGACATAGGAACGGATCCGAAGCGTAAGCAGCAAATACGCGAATCAGGGACCTTTCCTGTTACATAATTCTCGTTTATCGTTAACAGAAATTCTTGCAAAACGACTTCAGCTGCAAGCGGAAAAGCGAAAAACCGGCACCGAATCGGAATCTCCGGTACCGGAACCAGAACTGGAGCAGTCGCACGAAGAAGGTCACCAAGAAATTGTCAACGCCCCAGACGAATTAACAGAGCAGTGATTTTTATTTCGGAAATGCCAAAAAATTCTGGAAAATGTGGTTAATTGTTGTTGCGAGTAATATTTATATTTAAAAAAACAAACAAAACCAGATTAGTAAACAAGATTTTAATTTAATGCGATTATTAATAAATGTTGGTATAAAGAACAGTCAGCATAACTGTTTAAATTCCTTCTTGGTTGCGATAGAGAGAAGCCAGTGTAATTTAATTTTTAACGGAACAGTATGCTAACGTTTACATGCACTGCTCGCTAAAGCAATCCAACCGTTGACATTTTCTATTGGCTCAGCCCATTGTCATTCTCCTTTCAAATCCACAAAAGCCTCCACGCACACACACGGATTATAGCGTAAAGAATACGTTAAGGAGAAAAAATCCAGTTCATAATGAAAACAGTCCACACGCCCGTTGATTGGATTACCCGCGTTGACTGGCAGAAGCCAGGCCTGGTTTGTATAAAGGGTTAAACCACTCTCTCCCTGCCTATACATCTCTGTGTATCCGCTAATTCCCCGTTACAACAACAATTCTGCACGTTGTTCCCGTTCCTGCGCGCGGCACGCCAGCCGTGGTCCCAGCTGTTTGACGGTTGCTGTTTGAATGCCAACATGTGTGTCAATGTGTGCCGGGAATTGTTCAGGACGCGTCTACATGTACAGACGTGTGTGTACTGTGTAATATACTCAGTGTGTACGTTGTCCAGTCAAGCGCAACGACGCTGTCATCAAAAGTGCACTTAAAAAGCCGCGGTTGACGGTGTAGTACGATTGGTCGCTGGTTTTTATTTTTCTTTGTAAATTTGAGGAACCAGACAGTGTTGCGCAATCGGATATATTTTGCTTTGTTTCGAAACAGCCGGATACATATACTTTTGTTCAGAAATATCGCATTGCGCAAGCTGTCTGGCCGGTTTTCTGCTGCACAAAAGAAACTCCGTGCATGACGCAACCGGCTTTAACCTTCCATTGTTTAATGCATCCGCTTGCGCAACGCTGTCGTCTACGACGTTATCAAGATTGTCGTTAAAAGCTGCGCACGATAAAATGAGCCAATGAGAAGCGTGTTAATTTTCACCATCTGTAATTATTTACCCGAAAGGTCACGGACGGATCCACGCCTTACCGATAATTGCCGGCTAAAACGAGCCGGGTGGGGCTTTGTCGCGTTGGTAAAATTGGCATTTTTCCGAAGTCGGTAAAGTGGGAGTCGTGCGATCGGGATAAAAATACAGTCAGAAAACGGGATACCCGAGTCAGAACTGGCAATGGGGTGTACTGGATGGTGTTAGTTGAATCAACTTGTTGACCCAAGGTTAATGAACATGGGGCATCGTTTTGCGGGAAAACCGGCGCAAATGCATAGTATTGCCGGCATCGCGGCGTTTTCATACAATGCTTCCGTTGGCTCATATTTCTCGCCGTTCACTCACTCACTCTCTCTTTTCTTCTCGCTCTGGGTCATCGGAGCTTTTTCCTCCCCGATTTTTAACAGCACGGAGAAAAAAGTGGATCAACAGTTAGCTGCGGTTTAGATATCGCTTCCATAAACCACGTTAAATCGATTTTCCACGGCAAATAAACTGCTGCGGTATTCTCCATCGAAAAAAATAATTCGTGTAAAACAACAAACACATAAGTTTACAAAAAAAATATAAGTTCCCTATAAATAGAAGTAAATATTACATACTGTAAAAATACTAACCCACTAAACATTAAAGTCAAAATAAACATTCAAATTCATTGGCAAAATTGTTTACGAAACTCCTCCTTCAAAGCACCAGAATTTTGTTATTTTAGCAATCAATAAATACTTTTGCACTGGTCGACCGATAAGTGCTTTTTTCTACAAATTTCGTTTATTTTGTTTGTTGCAAAATATACATTAGGTGATGTGCCGTAAAGAAGCAAATTAATTTGTACAAAAAAAGACGTATACCGCTTCCAAAAAAATTGCCGATTAAGATCGTTGTCGCGATGTATTGAAAGTTGCAGAAAAGGTTACCGCCCACTCATCCGCGGTTGGATTCCGGCAACCGCCAGTGCGGCCTGCCCCGCCCCTTTACTGATTGCAACATTCCCGCTCCGCACACACGTCTTTCCTGCCGAACCCCTTCACGATCATCTTCAACCGCAACCAAGTGGTTTTCAGGGAAAACGTTTCCCACAACGGCTTTCTGCATTAATGTACATCTGTGTCCTG